TCTTGCTTAGCAATAATAGTCTAAGCATCTTCAGCAAGCACTCACTGGGGACAGGAATACTCTGTAGTCTGTAGTGGATTACCCTAAAGGAATACAAAATACTGTGCCTGACTCCCACATGTGGTGTTAAGCTTAATAAATATTTGCAACACAGTTGAAGATTCTGGCAGGAAAGGGGTTATTACAAATATGAAATATTATTACCAATCTAATGTGCTAAAAAAATTCATTTCTTTGCCTCTGACAAAGTGTCTTGTTAATGAGCTATTTCACAAGTGTCTAAATGAATTCAGTGTAAAATGATTTATTGCCACACTTGCAACAAAGAAAATATACACATGTCCCCAAAGAAACAAACTCTCACTCAAGGAGCAATCTTTGGCAAGGTTCATAAGTTCTGCTATTACTTTAACAGTTCTTTTTTTTTCTTCTGCCAAAGCAACTTGTCAAAATAAAATATGGCCTGTATTTTTTTGAAGCACTTTACCTTGCCTCAAACTGTCAATACACACAGAAATAACTTCAATTGTCCTGCTGCCTTAATGCAAGTAACATTAATAGAATCATAGAATCATAGAATGGTTAAGGTTGGAAAGGACCTTAAGATCATCTAGTTCCAACCTTCCTGCCATGGGCAGGGACACCTCACACTAAACCATGTCACCCAAGGATTCATCCAACTTGGTCTTGAACAGTGCCAGGGATGGAGCATTCACAACCTCCCTGGGCAACCCATTCCAGTGCCTCAGCACCCTAGCAGGAAAGAATTTCCTCCTTATATCCAATCAAAACTTCCCCTGTTTAAGTTTTAACCCGTTACCCCTTGTCCTATCACTACAGTCCCTAATGAAGAGTCCCTCCCCAGCATCCCTATAGGACCCCTTCACATATTGGAAGGCTGCTATGACGTCTCCACGCAGCCTTCTCTTCTCCAGGCTGAACAGCCCCAACTTTCTCAACCTGTCTTCATACAGGAGGTGATCCAGTCCGCTGATCATCCTCATGTCCTCCTCTGGACTTGTTCCAACAGTTCCATGTCCTTTTTATGTTGAGGACACCAGAACTGCACACAATACTCCAAGTGAGGTCTCACAAGAGCAGAGCAGAGGGGCAGGATCACCTCCTTCGACCTGCTGGTCAGGCTCCTTTTGATGCAGCCCAGGATACAGTTGGCTTTCTGGGCAGCAAGTGCACACTGAAGCTGGCTCATGTTCATTTTCTCATCAACCAACAGCCCCAAGTCCTTCTCCACAGGGCTGCTCTGAATCTCTTCTCTGCCCAACCTGTAGCTGTGCCTGGGATTGCTCCGACCCAGGTGTAGGACCTTGCACTTGTCATGGTTAAACTTCATGAGGTTGGCATCAGCCCACCTCACAAGTGTGTCAAGGTCCCTCTGGATGGCATTCCTTCCCTCCAGGGTATCAACCGAACCACACAGCTTGGTGTCATCGGCAAACTTGCTGCGGGCACACTCAATCCCACTGTCCATGTCAGTGACAAAGATGTGGAACAAGACCGGTCCCAACACCGAATCCCTGAGGGACACCACTCGTTACTGGTCTCCAGCCGGACATTGAGCCATTGACCAGAACTCTTTGTGTGTGGCCATCCAGCCAGTTCTTTATCCACCGAGTGGTCCATCCATCAAATTGATGTCTCTCCACTTTAGAGACAGGGATGTTGTGTGGGACAGTGTCAGATGCTTTGCACAAGTCCAGGTAGAATGAATATGAATAATAATATGGAGGTCAGACATGCAGGAACTTATGTTGAAAGTCTGACATTCTGAGTTGACTATATAAAATACAGGCTATATTGACCTTGGTTTTTTTTTTTACTTTGTATACTTAAATCTGGAACAAAACCCATTAAACTGGAAAGAAGCAGGTAAAACCTGAGCCTCGGAGGCCACATTGCCACCTCTGGAAACACAAGGCAAACACATCATAGATGTAGTCTTCAGAGGGCCTTGCGCAAGTGTTTATCAGTTACTAAATCTATTTAGACCAAATTGGTTTTGCTCGTATGTATAACTTAGAGACATTGTATTTTCCACTACTTTTTGCTTACAGATATAGAAAGTTAAGAAAGCAGGGACCCATAAAACTGTGGAAAGACCAAGTTGGTAAGTAAAGTACAGAGTGTAAAATCTAGTTTCTTTAATTATATTACATTAAGCCCTTTGGAATACATTTTTGCTCTGAAATTGTCTGAAAAAATCATTAGATACTGCCTTTATTTTGAGGGACTCTAGTAAAAAAAAAAAAATCCTACATAATTGAGGGTTATAATTGTGTTTAAAATAAGAATTACCTAGATTTTTTTTGGTTGCTGTTTTTAACAAGGAAAGGAACTTGTAACACTGAAACTCCAATCATCCTATTTTGCGGCATGCAGGTTGAATACTTTCTCAGCTCTGGTTGCTATATAGGTGCAAGGTTGATACTGAGGTGTGGAATCTCTGCAGAGCTTATGAGGATGAAAAAGTTGAAGATAAGGCAACTGTAAAGTGTAGCTACTCCACAGCTGCTTCTGAGAATCTTCTTTGTTAGTCTCGTCTAACATGAATGAGGAGCTTACCAATTTACAACTTTAAGTGGCTGAATTTCTTTTTTTACTAGTGCTATGAGAGTAAATGTCAGTTATCACAGCTGGCATTTCTCCAAATACTTCAATATTAGTGTCAATTTCGTTGACCATTTACTCTGAAAACCACATTGGAAATATTTGCATTAGTCTGAGTCTCAGCTGGTAAAAATGGCAGCAGTTCCACTGATTTTAATAGAGATATGATGAGCAAAACCACCTAGGGACCAAGTTTCTTAATACTATATCCCACTGCAAGCCTGTAGTTTGCTAAACCATGTTTAATGTCCTGCCACAGCCTATTGCAGTAAGTGTGAATACTGGCTAGTTTCAGAATACTGCAAATGTATTATTTATATCATCAAATGTCTTTTATAAAATATAAAGGAAATTGTATAGACAACCTCCATTATTTCCTTGTGGCTGGAAGGCAAATCTCTTTCTTTTAACAAAATATAGCTTCCATTGATTTATAGCTTTGCAGATCTTTCCTTGTGTGATTGTTGAATTCACTGTCCAACAGGGACTAGAGAAGCTGTGTGGTTTGGCAAGTGCTATTCATCTTCTATGCTTCAGTCTCATCATTGTTATTCTGTTGTCCATGTACCACAGTAGCAATGATCACTGTAGCTGAACAGGAGGCTGAGATTAGCGGTTCTTCCTCACACATGATACAACACTGGTTTTCAGAGCCTCTGGGAATCTGTAAACCCGATGAACAAAATGCTCAGCCCTCCTGCCTGAGATATGAGATAGTGTCATTGCTACAAGACTTTGAGGATGGAGGTGGACTTTCAGTTTATCTTCCCTGGGTTCCATAACCAGATAGCAGCTTTTCCTCCTTGCAAGCAGTTCATGTCTCTTTGGACTAAGCTAGGGATAGAAAATCTGACAGCAGCAGTGGTGGACATTCAAATTGCTTGTCAGGGCTATTTTCAGCACCTTGAAGTACAGCAAGTTTCACTTACTTAGCCTTTTTCACATTTTGCACTTGGAAAATACCAAGAAACAGTTGGCCCCTCTGGGGGTGGTAGTAGAAAGGGAAATGTAAAGATATGTCATTAGTGAACAAATACATGAATTTTAGGGAATGATATTCTCCTTGAATGCACACTGAAATAAGGTTTGAGAAGTTTGGTGAACATATTCAAGGAATGCTGAAAGGCCCTACAGACTTTGATTTATACCTCTAAAAATTCATTTTGCTGCAATTTTACATCTGAAAAACTGCTAAAAGCAACCCTTGGGGTGGGCAATCACTGCTTACAGCAGAAAGCACAAAAAAATAACAATGCAAATCAGGGTGTTGGGGGGAAGCACCGCACAGAGGAAAATAGCAGAATGTTTTTAAATAGATTTCTGTGTCTTGGTTGGTTGTTCACTAAGTGCTTTGGATGCTTTCACTGATACAGTGATTCTTCAAAAAGATTTGCTCCAAATGGTTGCCTTTCTAACATAACCAAAGATAATACTGGAGTAGTTTAGATCCCATGACATTTGAACTGAAACACGGCTTGGAAAATAAGGAGGCTGTGTTCTGAGATCTGGTATAAGAATGCAAGGAATAAACCAGTGCATTTCATGCTGGCATAACTTTGCCACAAATAGGTGGTTGCTACTACTCCTTCTAATTGCTGTTAGTGCATGGTTCACTGAAATTAAAGAATACCTTGTAAATATGCACCATTCTGCATATTTTGTTCAGTAGTTAAACCACTGTCAATTCATAAAAAGGTTAATTTTGTTAATTTTATGGCAAATAAATACTTGCATTTCACACTGGGGAGGAATTAGATGTTAATGTCTTCCTAAGATTAGAGTTATTTTAGAGAAAATTGTGGAAATTCTGCTAGAATAGTAATAGTTTAAGATTGAAATCCTGTTGCTTTGCATTATGGTATGATTATGAAATATGATTTGAACAATTTAACTCATTTATATGGGTTAATGCATTTACTTGCCCTTCTCCATTGTGACAATTTCAGCCAAAGACTTTGAACTTCAGATCTGGAAAAGAGTGGCACTAAAATTCAGCGTTAACCACCCGCAAACAGAAGAGAATTGCTACTCTGGTTTTAGTGCATATTTGTTTTCAGTGTTTCTGTTTTCAATGGGCGAGAGTTGCTCCTGTTCTTTTCTTGTTTACTGTAAAGCTTTATCTTGGACACTTTGAAACAGGAGGGCTTGTGTACCTGAGCTGACTTGCCTGGACATAGTCTGTTCACAGTATCTCCTTTTCACAATGTACCATTTCAGTGTCACAATGGAAATACTGGTCACAGTATCTCCATTTGACAAGGCAAAAATCAGTAAACCTGCTCAACAGATTTCTTTTGTTTGGGGGAGAGTTGTTGCTTCTATTTTGCACAGGACTATCTTTATGGCTTGTAAAAAGAATGTGGGTATACACACACTTGAGAGGGGTATCCATCTTGCAAGGGAAAGACTGTGTGTTCCTGTAGCCATCACTTGATATGAGAACCATGTGTCAGGGCTGCTCTTTTCTACATGCTGGATTACTAGGGACCTTGCAGACAAATGGAGGGCAGTCCAGAGGGGACTGACAGAAAAATGATAAAATACTTGGAAAATGGAAATTGCAGTGGTGATAAAGATTGACCATCTAGCACTTAGAGGAGACATAACTGTCTACACATACATATAGGGATATTACAGAAAGAACAGGGACCAATTATTCTCTCAAGTCATCAAGGGCAGAACAAGACTAATGGATTTAGGATGTTGCAGGGAAAATGTCAGTTTAACGTTAGGAAATACTTTGAGTAGAAAATAATCAGGACAACGTACGATGCTCTCAAGGGAAGTTGGGCAGGATTTGCATCACTGAACTCTGAACTTGTTCAAGTCTAAGGCTAGACATCAGTCTGAGGTAGTATACCTTATTGTACCCTGAAGTCTACCAGAACTAAAAAGCCTTGGTCCTTCACACCTTATGTAAGAAGGCAATCCTGCTAAAGCTAGAAGTCTTTGCTTGGTTAAGAGCTGCCAGTACAGTGCCATATACTTTAATAAATCTTTAAAGGATTGTGAGATATGCTAGCCCCTTCCCAAAGAAGCAAATTCACATGTAGGAGTTATTTACACAAATTTCAAGACATGGTAGATCTTGTGGGGTTTTCCCTACCAAATTCAAGAAATGTTTGTCTCTTGCTCATGAAAAAGCTATTTCAAGAAAGTATCTTCCATTTTGAGTTTATGAATTGGTTTAAACCTCACAGAAGTCAAACTTTCTGGAATTTATTTTCAAATGGAATATCTACTTACTGATTGATTGAATTTAGTATTCTTGTGATTTTCTTATTTTTATTTTTTTATTCAAATATAGAGATATTTTAACCTAGGTATATGGTTTTTAAGACAATCTCCAAAAATGTCTCACACAAGACTGTTTCCAAAACAATAACTATGGGAAGTATTTTAATAAGTGAGCAGAATAGACTATTTGTATGTAATGCCATTATAGAATCCATGCGATTCATTTTTTCGCTTCATCAGTATTTCAAGACAATTTTGGTCAAGGAGAGTTATTCTGCTTTTATTAGTAATTGCTCAGGCTCAACAGAACGTCCCCAAAATGCTAATGAGTTTAATGAATCAAAACTCTCATTGCCTGCCTGCTGCTACTTGTGTCAAACTCTAGGGAAATTAAGGTCCTGACAGTGTTTGATGAACAGGATAAAATCACAATCCTCTCAAGAAACCAGACTTATATCTGCAAATGGATCAAATGACATAGCTTTCTTTTCTTAAGGGAAAGAGCAGTGGCTAGCCACCATGATGAAATAGCACCGTACAACTTGCCAAAAACGATTGTCCTCAGGGTATTACATAGTTCTATGAAATACATAGGGTTGATTGGCATAACTAACACAATTATGGGAGACCTAGAAATTTTCCATTTTCCTAATTAGCATTGTGTGATCTAACTTATGAACTGGTTATGGTTTTACATAGGAGACAGGACAGCCGTGGATATCTTCAAATATCCTTAAGCTTGATGATAATAACTTTCTTATCCTGAAATCAGATATTTCCTTTTGGAAATCCTATAATTTCCTAGAGTGACAGAGTCAGATGGCCTCCTGGCTTCATTTATGTAAATTGTTATTCACATCTTGTTCTTCTTGCTACTTGGATGCAGGGTGTACTACTAACCTTAAATTAACAGTCTATTGTAATGTTTATTACAATAACAAAAAAATGCTTATGTGTTCCTCTTTAAATTGTAGCAGAGGGCAACTTTAAGCAGTAGTTTTACTAGAAATACTTTTCTTTTTAGAATTCTAAGTAGCTTATTTGGTCTTCTGATCTAAACATAGAGTGTATGCTTTTGTGATAATGAAGAATGTTAATGAGATAGCAGGAAAACCTTCTGATGGTGTTATACATAGGTAAAGACATGCAAGTATTAAGATACAAAGTGAGAGCCTATTTCATACATAGGCAGGTTGCCACTTCTAGGATTTCTGTATGGGTTTCTAGCTGTGATGCGAGAACTGGTATTGTGGGTTTTCTAGAGAAAGTGCGCTACCATGTTGAATTTCAGTTCCAAAGTTGGTCTCTAGAGCTTCAAATATCAATGTCTACATTTCACCTAGGTATGTAAACATGAGTTTGTCTTCTCTTTTCGATTGCCCTCTTTGTCATAGAGTTAAAAAATTTGTTGTCTCTGTTCCACTGCTTCATCTGCCAGTCTCTGACCTTTGTAAGCTGCTTGGAGTACAAGTTCTCTTTAAACGTGAATGAAACAACATGTAGAATAAGAAGTAAGTGTGCCTACCTTCTCAGCATGTGACAGTAGGTTGAAATTTGGATTGTGTTTTTTTGTTGGTTTTTTTTTTTCTTCATTTATTTAACATTCAGATGCAGTGTTTTCTTGCATCCAGCCGTGACTTTTCAGCTTTATGCAGAGTGCAGGAAGAAAATTTACCTACAAGATCTATCACCCAAGTATTGCAGAGGTCTGGGACTATATTGCATTTAGGAGACAAATCAGGCACATTAGTCTAGAATGTCCATAAAGCTGACCCAACAATAACAATACTAAATAAAAAAAGAAATTACTTTTCTTCTATTGCTGCTCCTTAGGAAGTCCTCTGACCAAACTTTCTTTCTACATGTAGGAAGGCATTGCCACCTAGGGACTTGTCAATGAGTCTCTTACTATATTTCTTTTTATATATTATTCCTACATAACCATATAAGACATGCTTATTCTCATGACATTATTTACAATGAATCTAAATGTTTCTCTATACTGCCTACTTTCATGTTTCACTTATTTTCTCTCCCCAGACAGCTCAACAAAGTTTCTATAATCTGTGACAAGAGAGGTGGTGAATTTTTGCAATGCGAGTAGAAGTTTTGTGAGACACCACTGTAGTCGGCCATGGTTATGCATCCTTCTGAAAACAGGTAATGAGAATCAAGATCAGTGGCTTTAGATGTAGGTGAAAGCAGTCTATGGGAGATACCTGCCACAAGAACTCTGGTTTATAAAAGCTATTTATGCATTTTGGGAGTTTATTAAAATAATATTAGCCACCTCCAGGCTTTTTCTTACTTAAGCATTTCCTCTTCATAGGTCGAAACAGAAAAGAAACCTGCTCATGGGTGGCTCTAAAGTGTCCTGCTTTTGGTCTGAGTAAAATAATTTGGATGTTGAAAGTTAACAATTCCTACAAACATTATACTTTTTTTTTTAATCATCTATTCTTCAAAATAATTGTAGAATGAAAGGCATTATTTCTTTGGATGTGATGAGGATTTGGAATATTTTGGGTAGACAACGGAAGAAGGAACTAGTAACACATCCAAGAGCTGCACTGAAATATGTAGCATTCCAGGAACAATTTTCCATCTGAAGTGTCTTTACTGCCCTCTTTAACAATTTTTTAGAAAACAGAATAAAAATTGAGATGTCAGGCATAGTGATAGTTATAAATGTCCCAGTAGGGAGAATCATACCTAACCCTAGCTTGAAGGTTAAGTAAGGTGAGAATTATAAGTTAAACAAGGAATATTTTCAAAGGTATTCCTGAGGAAAACAACAGAAACAGCTTTTCTGAAAATTTTTAGATCCATCTCAGCTGAAGGTTTAAGTTTCAGAGTGTGGGTGAAAAACAGAAGAGTACTCCAAAGGCTTCTTACTGGCAAGTAAATCTCCAAAGGGGAAAAATAGTTATTTGCTGATTTCATAAATTCTTCTCCTTAACTTTCCTGGAGGACTACACCTTTGCTCTGGGTTAAGCATCTATTTCTGATTTGTTTGTCTGTTACCTGTAGGATTTGGAGATAAGAACTTGCTCTCTTTTGCTACCTTCAGTTCAGGTTTTGGATAGGACAATGAATAAGAGCGACTTCTGAGCTTCTATTGGAAATATGTTCATCAAACACATATGTGGGTAAAGCTTTTTCTTGGCTTATCAGAACTTCCCCACTGTGCTTAAAGTACTCCTTGAAAACCTAGTTCACTAAAATATCTGAAACATAAACACTTTGAAATCCCAGCTTCTTGGCCTGGTCTTTGAAGGGAGCTATGAATTATTGAACTAGAAAACAGGTATTTTGAGAGGAAGCTTGATTTCTAAAATAACACCTGTGACACAAAGGTGGTGTGTTCAAAACAAGAAGAGGGGCAAACAGCTGCTCCCTTCACCATTCTCACACGGAAAGAAAGCTATTGGCAACATAGCTAATTGTCTTTTCAGCCACTGAGTTTGCTGTACCTGGAGAGGAGCAGGAACACTTGACCAATGCTTGATACAAACCTGACTAATTCTAGAAATATTTTCTGTGTAGAAGAAGACAGCATAATCTAATTCTTTTTCTGGCAGTTATAAATGGGCACGTACGTATACCTGGATAAAGTATTGATGAGATATGCTAATCTCAATAGAGATAAGAAAGAATTTGCAGGCTGGATTCATTTGTAAGTATCAGCAGTGCACATTTGTCATTGATACATATCTAATAAACTATGTATGGAAGACATCTTGATAACTCACTTCCAATAAAGTTTTTGCAGCGCTGGCAAAATACTTTAAGTCATTCCCATTGTACCTTTCATAATTCACAGCTAAGCGGATCTAACCTGGGAAGTTCTCAGTGTTCAGCCTAAGTAATAAATAGAACATGGCTCTTTTTTTTTTTTTGGTATAAATACAATGGTGCAGACTTTGTAATATAGCATATTATGCATAGACAGCACATTCACAAATCAATGCGTGCCAAATATATCCAATTCTTATTATGCATTGTATCCTGCTGTACAGTGTAAATACTTCTTAGCAAGCATACTTCTCATAAGAGATGAAACACAAACATGGTTGAAAATCTGATCAAAGTACAAGTTAGTCATGTTAGATGCGTACTATCAAACATCAGCTCAGACTTTGCAGTCCAGAGTAGGTATTATGTACCCCTTCAGGAAGGTTTCCCTGACTTCTATAGTGAACACATACACAATTTGTAATATTATCCACCTACAGTGTAGAAACCTTTTTTGTTAAAGCTCCTATGAAGAGATCC